GTTGTCGACATGATTTTGCGCATGCTTCATCAAATAATCCAAAATGTATACAAATATGATTTGAAGGGAAAATCACCAAGATGACCCAATGCATGCTAGTAATATTTAAATTTTTTTGTATAAATGAACAAAAACAACTATTAATATAGATAGTAGTGAACGGAAATTTTGTAGGAATGGTTCGATGAGAAATGATTTTCCATGATAAAGACGTATCACATTAATGAAATAATTGACAACGTTAATAAGAGTTTCATGGCAGGCTATCTCAAGAATCTTATACGGGTTTAGGAAAGCACATTCGCCTAGACGTTTTCGAAGCATTAAGTCTAAAAGGCTACAAACAATATAACCAAAACATTTACAATCAAGTAATATCTTATGACCAAACCAAAAACAAAATATTATGGAAAAAAATAATAGTAAATTTTGAATTCGCTTACATCTCCCAAGTTGTTATGATGGACAAATCAATTGTTTTTTCAACAAACGATAATATTCTTCATATGTAACTCAAATCAAACGTCCCCGCTTTTAGATGCCCAACATTGGGTACCATGTGAACCGCTAGATTAGTCTTAAAAAGGTCACAAAGTGATTCTGTTTGCCTTGCTTTGTTGATCTTTTGGTTGGGCATGATTTTTTCATAACAACCGTTATAGTTGATGGTGGTGCACTTGGTCGAAATTTGTTGTTGTGATGACGCCTTGCTTTGTTGTTCCAAATAATAACTCGCTTTAATTAGTGAGAATATCGTATATGTCTTTCTTAAACATCAAAATATATTATTTGTCAGCGTAAATATAATGTTTTGATATACAACTGTATCTTCTAGGATACCAACTTCATCTGACATCACAAGAACATGAATACCTTTATATCTTTTATATTTTAAGTGATTTTTACATAGAGAAAGTGAGTATATTAACCCATCGTTATATGGAAAAACCATTCGTCTGGCACATTTTTTTTCATATCCGCATAGGATAACACCAAATCACAAGGCGTAATAGCCTACAATTATATATCATGTGTCGATATGTTAGAAAATTTAATATAATGGCAACGCTCAAAGTAATCTGACATCAAGACAATCTGAAAACATAGACCTAACACATTAAAACACGGATATATATAATATATATATATATATATATATATATATATATATATATATATATATATATATATATATATAGCTGTAAACGAATTGAACGTTCAACGAACAGTTTATGAAACGTTCGGTGGAAAATTCGTTTATGTTCATTTATTTAATAAATAAATGAACATGAACATAAATTTTCGTTCGTTTAAATAAACGAACGAACATGAACACTGGTATCGTTCGTTCAATTATCTTCGTGAACGTTGGTTTATATTGTTCATTTAAGTTCGTTTATTTTGTTTATATAAGTTAATTTTATATTCATATATGTTTAATCGTGTTTGATTACATTACTATATTATATGTTCATTTATGTTTAATTATGTTATATTTATCTTTGTTCGTTTCCGTTCGTTCGTTTGTATTTGTTTAACTTGTTCACGAAAATAAACGAACGGACATGAACAATGTAATTTGTTAAACGAAAGAAAACCCGTTCGTTTATCCTTTGTTGTTTGTTCATATGTTCGGCTAACTTAAATGAATAAACCTGAACATGCCTTGGTTCGTGTTCGTTCGTTTATATATATATATATATATATATATATAATATATATATATATATATATTATATATATATAATATATATATATATATATATATATATATATATATATATGCTAAATACGAACGTCTAGTAATTTTTTAGTAAATTTTCGATTACGGGACACATTATTTTTCATTTGTATAACATAGGGACAAATTCTGCATTTCTGTATTAGCTTGGAAACAATTCTGCGGCATTTTCCTGCCAGAAGGATCACATCAAGAGAGTTACCATTTTTGTATTTTTTTGGACAAGGCTTCTTTTTGTAAATTCAGCGACAACTTCTTCAAAATTAGGTACTATTTTTGTAATTGTTTTTTTTAAGGACAACGTTTATAAAACCAAATCTTATAGGTTCCATTTCTAAAACTGCTTGAACACAAGGAACATTTATGTATTTGTGTCTTACAAGGATCATGCAGGTAATTGTTTTTTCATACAGAAACGCTGACCATTCTTCTTGATAAACACATTAATCGAAACATTAAGTCAAACCATCCATTACTTTTTAGCAAATGTAGTAAAATGTTGCATTAAAATAAGTTTAATGTTATAAGTGTCAATAAGCAACCATTAGCATAAATATGGAACATTTATGATTTGTTTATGTTTTTGAAACAAAAATCCATAAAGTATATGGATCACCTTTGCAACCATCTGCAGTAGAAGAAATGCACTAAACGGTTGCAGAATGTAATTAAAATTGTGTTTGTTTTTTTAACATTTGCATGTTGCTGCAAATATTAAAAAATTAAAATAAACTTCTTTTATAATTTGAAAATAGTTTTTTAATACCGAAAATTTAATAATGTATGATATTTCGGTAATAATTTATGATATTTCAGCAAAAAATAATGATATTTTAACAAAAAGTAAAGATATTTTAACATAAAATAATGATATTTCATCAAAAAATTATTATTAATCAATATTAAAAAAAATCAACAAGAATAAACAAAAAACAAGACGAAAAAAAATATGAAAAAAAATTTCAGCAATATATAATCAATATTTTAGCAAGAAAAAAAGAAGAAGAAGAGGTTCGAAGAGGTAGGAAAAAGAAAAACAAGTGTTGCACCAAGAAGAGCACGCGCATAGGGTTTTAATCTGAATACTTCTAAAAAACATACAACTGCGAGATGAAAAGTGTTGCGCGTGTGCTGCGTCGCACAACAATAAAAGGTCTGAAGAAGTTTTTTTTCAAAAAACAAACAGCACCTTTGTCATGTTAGATAAATATGTAGATAAGAGTTTTCATTTATAGTTTTAAAAGATCTTTTTTCTTTCCTCTGTGTCTATTAACTCACACACACATTCAATCAGAAACATTCTATGAAATCTTACGGAATTTATTTAGAACATGTCATCTACAAACTAAAATTAAAATCCATTTACATCATAACACAATTTGAATTCCTGAAGAAGTCAAATGTTTTAGCTAAACACCATGAGTTAATTTAGATTAAAACTTTATGCAAAATTCATTATAACATTTTTATAACAAAAGAAACTTATAAAGTTTCCGTTGAGGGCTAAATATGTCAATTTGACCGTGCAGGGGAAAATATGTCCAGTAAAATATTGTACAGTGATGATAACCATAGTCCATACTAGCAAAGAACTTTCAATACCAAACTCTATAATATTAGTTGTCATTTCTAGAGTGTAGGCTAATCGATAAGGTTAAGATTAATTTGTTTTATTATTTTCCCTCACACATATGTACACTTAAGATCCTATAATATATGCTCATAACCCTTTTCTATTCTTTTATGGCTTGTTCCCTTTAACAACTATATTTATCCACTTATTTTTCAATCAATCTTGATAGTACATCAAAGATTTGTTTTACTTTTGTTACTTATAAGTATCATATGTAACCGTTTTAATAAAATGTGTAAACACATGTGTGTGAACGAAACTTGTAAGACAATGAGTTCTTTTCCCAATGATTCCTTCGTGTTGTGTAATTTGTGATTTTGGTGCTACATTTTGTGAATAAAATCTTAAATTTTGCTACTAAGGTTAAGAAAATTAGAGATGAGTAATTAGTACTATTTTCCAATCCCATAGTGGTACCAAATTCAGCGGAGAAAATATTGGACCCGTGTTATTAAAGGTGCCTTGATTGTTTTGTTTTATTAGCATATTCCACTTTAGTAGAACATAAAAGGTTAACAAGTATTGATGATGTATTTTCGAAGTAAGAACTAAGGAGTGTTTCGTGTTCGAAATGTACATTAATGTTACCTATTACTTTTAAAGCTCATACGAGTTATAATTTTACTTTATATTCCTATAAAATTATAAATTCATAATCTTTACTCGATCTATGTCAACTACATTAGTGAAAATTTACAATTACTTTCACATTTCATATTCAATAACTTGTTTTACTTTACAAAGTATGTGGGTAATCCTATCCCTAGGATTAGAAATGATAGCCTGTATTCGAGGACATATAATCTCTAAAATAGTCTTTGATTAGCTTTATTATTTGCATATAAAATAATAATTAATTGTGAACCATATTTATAACACTACAAGAAAAAAGCCCTTTAATGACGTGCAAACAATGACACTCGCTGATAGAGGACGCGCATTTGTAAGTGCCCTAAATAATACTGTCAGTTTTGCAAAATTTGAAGGATAGAGGGCACGCATTTGTGCGCGCCCTAAAATTGGTGTTAGAAAAGAAAAATAAATAAATGCGGAGGGCGCCTTTCATAAATTGTGCGTCATGTAAGTGTGTCGCTTTATAATTTTTAAGTGAAACACGCGTTTTCGGCGGGAAATGAAATCGACTAAAATTACTGGCGCTTATTGTATCCCAAAATTTAATCCCCCGCCTCTTCTACTTAGCAAGAAAAAGCCCTAGGTCCTTCATCTTCATCTTCAGCGGTGGGAATACCTAGGTCGATTATTCAGGGTTCAACAACAGATTTGTAAACAACAATCGTATACGATTCTGGATCTCGACATGATTATGGCGCTTTGGAGCCGGCGACGTGAACATCATTCATGAGAAAAGTTCATACAAAATTCAAGAATTTCAATGGTTTCGATTATTGAGTGGGGTACAGGGAGGTGTAATCGGTTTGAAATCTTTACTAATTGAGTTGAAATTGAACCCGAAAAACTCAATCCACACTTCGAACATCTCTGATTCTCTCTTCTTTCGCTCCCCAATCTCCTTGGCGGCGCTCTTTCCATTTCCATTTCCAACCTCAAACCACCGTTAAATGGAACCCAACAATTCAATCAATCAAATCGGCAATCACATCGACGATGATGGTGATCAGAACTCATTTCCAAGCCACCGTTATTAGATCATCACCTATTCAAGAAAGAGAAAACACTCTCAATCTCAGGTAATCACACTAATCGATTCAACACAAGTAAACCCTCTTTCGGAATCATCAGTTCTAGGGCTTGTTCTCCTTGCTCATACGTTCTCATATGATATTCAAAACCTCACTAAGTCTCTCCTTCTCAAAATCCTCGCAAGATTGCCCCTGAAATCAATTTTTAGGTTCAAATGTGTTTGAAAACACTAGCTAGATTTAATTTCTCAGTCTTCATTTTCCTGTTTCTATTGCTCGCATATGCTCACAGCAAGCGCATCGTCATCATCCTTACCTCAAAATTCTCAATCCTTTGCTCTTTCAAAAAAAGTAAGCAGGTATTTCTGTATGTTCTTGTAGTCTCTTTACTTTCTGCTTGTATTGATAATATTGAACACATGTTTTGAGAATAGAATATTAAACCCTAGATTCTGGAAACTTGCAGAAAAGGAAGGAGATGAGCTATGCACTCCAAGTGTTCGAAGAAATGCTTAAAAGAAGAATCTTACCTAATTCATACCTTATAACATTACCTGATGTACACAAGACCAAGTGATATGGTACCTAATCACACCTTGCACTCGAATGCATACAGGGAAAGCCTGTATTTATTCTTTTTCTTAATTTGTTGGAGATGGTAATTAAGGATCGTTCTTGTGAACATTCCTTCTTTTCAGGCTGTAGATTATCACAACTAAGAAATAGTTAAACTAAATTTTGTTACGTGAAACTAGGTATGTTCTTAAATTTCCTTTTTATAAACTTGGTTACATTGGTTGATCTGGTTTTTTTTCATGATCTTATCTAATTTGTGCTCTTGTAGTGCCCATGCACTTCCACCTTCATATCGGTCACTCATGACAACTGATGATTCAAGGATTCTTGATTTCTATGTTGATGGTATGTCCCATTCTAAGCTGTCTGATAGATAAATTTTGTTGCTTAATATCATTATGAACACTATTGATTATATACATATGTTGTTGTTTATACTCAGATTTTGATGTCGACACAGATGGAAAAAGATTTATTTGGCAGGTTAGGGGATATGATTATTGTTCCAAAAGCCTATGGATCCCTTCAACAGCCATGTTTAATATGCCTATAATTTTCTTATGTTTCAAAAATATCTCTTTTGTAAGGTATCTGCAAGTTTCCTTTTATTGATGAAGAGCGCTTTCTTGATTCAACAAAAATGATTAAGCAGGAACTGACTGTACGTAAGGCTGAATTATATACAGGACTTTCAAACATTTGACAAGGAATCTAATTAACATGGTCTTTTATCTTCAGAAAGAGGAAGCTGAAAGAAATGCTGAGAATGTCGACAATTAGTTCCTACACATTTTAGAAAATCTTGCCTTGCGGATTATCACTTCCTTTAACAATGAAGGCTCCATCGAGCAAAATACATGCTTAAGGTTGTGTTCTCCATTGTTATAATGCAGTGATTATTCTTTTTCCTAATGTAAATATTTTCTTCTCTTGTTTCAATTTCAGTGGAGAATTAATATCATATGTTTGTTGGGGTTACATTGAGCAAAACAGTAGGCGGTAGGCTGATCGCATCCACCCTAGTCCAAGTATCTTTTCCACACACACACACATACACCCTAAACTTTAAAGATGACTAGAATTAATATTTCATGTAGATGACTTTTTTTTTGTTAAATTGCCTTTTCTCACGAAAGATCCCATCTCTCCAACGGATCAATGGATGACCACAATCGTGGTTCGGGCAGGTTGTGCTTTTTACTTGTTTTT